TCATAAATTCCGACGATTGCATAAAAAGCTTGCAGTTTTTACGTCTGCATTTGTAGTCGCTGCCGTAATTATTAGTTTTACGAAGCAGTACCTACTTAGTAGCATTTTCCTTCTCGTTGTTATCAAAGGGTAGTGTAAGTTGAAATTAATTAGTTTTTAGTTATATTTTGTGCATTTTTTTTTGAAAATTATACTATGAAGTTGTTGCAACCTGTTGTTTTAAATACAAAATTTGTAGAAAAATTGTGCATTTTAAAAGAACATGATGCATATTTGGTGCATAATTATCACTATTTTTGTGCATATATATGCGCATATTTCTACATGTTGAAGTGCATATTATTCCTTGCCTTACACATTAGTGTTGGGCGTTGTCGTGGTTGTGGGGCTTAAGTGGTTCACTCATCAAGGGGCGTTGTAAACTCAGGCTCAGATTAGCGTATAACGGTCCCAACGATAATCAGACCAGCACTGGAGGACCTACTTGGAAACAGGTGCTTAGCTTCGACAATAAAATCCTCCCTATGTTATGTAATCCGCCATGGTTTGTCAGGACCGCTCAAATCAGAAGAGATCACAAGAAATAATTCAACATTCTGAACTTCCTTCGATAGCATAAGGTAAGCAAGTTAGGAATACTTTAGGCCAACCTTCTAAGTGTACAAATAACGAAGTTATGGTCAAAAAACTAAAAAATTTTATTTTCAAAAATGCGAAGGCGTTTATTTATTTTCAAAGATACCAAAAAATAATTTTAACAAACTCATTCTGATTTTTCTCAGCTTTCTAATGGCGTTGAAATAACATTTTTATGGCTTGTGGGTTTCGAGCAAATCACATCAACTTTCTTATGGACGCCATATTGGATTTTTATGTCGTTTGATAGAGAAAAAATTACAAAATCAGGGATACTACTCATTTAGTATTTCATTTGGGAATCAACCTTGCATTTTTGCCTTAAGTGACGGTGGTGCTCTCGATGGTGACTATGCGAGACAATAAACGAATGAAATTGGTTTCAATCATAATCAGCCATGGAATTATTCCCATAAAAAATACATGTAAACTTCGAGGTAAAAATGCAAAGTTGATTCCCAAATGAAATACTAAGTACACTGGTGTTGTAATTTTTTTCTCTATCGAATGACATAAAAATCCAATATGGTATAAGAAAGTTGATGTGACTTGCTCGAAACTCACAAATATTCAAAACATTTCTTTAGCACAATATTTCTTTTTTGGGATAATTTTCAATTGTGTTTATAGAGCGTTAATTCGCATAAGGAAGCCCTACTTTAAGGTCTGCAAGTACCAATTCAAGGTACTTTTCCACCATCAAAGAGCCAATTATACATCTGTAATTACAACGAATCCAGTGTATATGAATGCGGGATTTTGATTTTTTTTTAGTAAGTAGAGAGAACACTGTCCAGGAAAAGTTTTGTTTAAAGATTTCCGTTCTATTGAGCTAGCTGAAAAAAAATGACCAAGGGTTTGTTACAACCATTTTTTGATATCTTTGAAAATGAATAAAGGCAGGCGCATTTTCGAAAATTACATTTTTGGTTTTTTTTTACCATAACTTCGTTATTTGTGCAGTAAGAAGAAACTCTGAAAGGGAAACTTAATCTACATAAAATTCTAAAATTCTTTGCCCATTTAACCGACTTTGTATCTCTTTTGGTTTACGAGAGCCCCATTGGAAAAACTTCACCTCGTATATATTCTTCTATTAGCCCTAGCGTCTGGGTAGACGTCCCCTAGTTCGGCTCTGTGGTAGGTGAAGAGCTAGAGGGGCGAATTTCCACTTTTCTGACATGGAGGCTGATCAAATTACTAAACCAAAGGGAGCATCCCAGGATATCTCTCAACCTATGTTACAGGTCACCAGCCTCAACCCACCAGACCACGCAAACCCATCTCCGGCATTGAACAGAGGAGGAGAAAGAAGGCCAGGCTGGCCCAAATGGATCAAACTGCTCACCTCCAAACCATCCACCTTCTGTGACCCAATCCAACTCAAAGGCTAACTCCTGTCAGGCGGGCAAACGGATAAGCGGCGGGAAAAAGAGCCAGAGGTCGGATGACTTCACACCGACCCAACCGCCGACGAAAAAGAGCAGACCACAGCTCCAACCAAAGGCGGGTATCAGAAGGTTAAAGCGCCGGAAGTGCAGAATTCCTGGGGAAAGATAGGCAGCCGGTGTCTCTTCCACACTCCTGTGAAGAATCAACCTCGAGAGAGGCTTCAGAGAAAGGCATGGAAGAGTGTTTGCAGCTCTATAGAATCCACTTCCTCTGCATCCCGACTAAATAATATTCTGACAAAAGGTTCATATTATAACCCAGCTAGCCTTGGACGAGAGGAAGGTTCCTACACTGACAACCTCTCAAAAGACAGCCGAGGTACTGAGAAACGCCCACTTTCCCGGAGCCACCACAGCGCCGCCCAGTCAAAAATAAAGGCAAAATAAAATAAATAAAATGACCTCTAGGTTGGTTTCCGAATGTCACCATGCACTAGAGCAAGTAGCAATACCCTTGAGGTCGTATGGGTCAAAGGGCATACTCTGGAACCTTCCAGGTAATGAGAAAGCCGATGAGCAAGCCCCACTGGCCTCAAAATAGGTGTTTTATGGTCCAGAGCCGACTCTTCCACTTACCTACCCTGTCCACCCTCCACACCCTTCACAATCCAGAATCTTTAAATAGTAAGACAATGCATGCAGGACATGGAACGAGTTACGCTCCAAAATGGCGGACGAGTCAGCTGTCCTATACAGTGTGTCCCAGGTAGAACGGCAACGTATTTTTTTGCAAAGGATCCACGAGGCCTCTGACATTAGCGTTCAACGTACTACTCCAATCTCTTTCTAGCAACAGGCAAGAGCAATAACGTACGTTGAACGCTAACTTCAGATACATATCAAAGCCCTCGCGGATCCTTCACGAAATAGTTATTTACATACAAGTCCGGAAAATGACACATTACTGGCGAGGAAATATTGAAGTACGAGGTCCCTTTGGGGCTGAGTACTTTCATTTCCGAGTCAGGTAATGTCATTTTACTGACGAGTTTTGTATTAAATTTTACCTGAAATCGTATTTTAATAAAACATTCCAATATTCATATAGAACTTTTTATTAATGTCAATTTGTCAGTGATGACAGAAGTCATTATAGACATTTAGCAATGTGACAGGTGGCCGGTAAAGTGACAAGCGGCAGGAAACAGTCTGCTCTGCCTCTGTCATGGAAACTAAAATTTCCTGGCAGAAAGTAGGCATGAAAATGAAAGTGTCAGGACGATTTTGGGTAAAAATACATTATATCTGATTGCCTATAGTGGCACACACTGTATAAAGTAGCTATAGGAATTACGTTGTCAAAAGGACATAATTTTAGGATCACAAAAATTACCTATTTTCGTTAAATTTTAGACATCTTTGATAATAGGGCAATGTATACTGCATTCATTATAATAAGATAGTAGATGGCGCTGCGTTTTAAGATAGGCACACACAAGAAAAATATAAAACAGCACCAAACTATTGTAAAGTGGAAATATCCGCTACTGTGACCAGAAATAAATCGTTTTCACGCTTGGATTTTGACATTAACAGCTAATGACAGTTTGACAGTTTGGTTTGGCAACAGAAACTATGAGCTTACAAAATTCGCCACTGGTTTTATTTTTCAGTGTAATACTGACTCACGTTTTAACCATTCCCAGTGAAGGTCAAAGCTTCCCTATGCTTTCTACCGCTACCTTCTTAAAATGAACAGAATATAAATTATATCATTTACAGGAACCTGAAGCTAAGAAGGCGAGAGATGCCGCATCCCCACTATTTTGCTCATCTGCGCATAGCCCGCTTTCGTCTTCTTAGCTGCTGGTTCCTGTACACATTTTGATGTTGCAATGTATGCTACAAGTTACAGTATACAGTGTGTCCCAGATCGGGTGGGATTGCATGGGTAACTTTGTTATTATTAAGGATAGAGAATTGCTTAAATGGGCAATGTTTTGCAGTTTTTGATGCTTATTTAAAATTTCCTTATGGAAATTCAAAGTGTCGCATAGGTTCGACGAAAATTCAAAAAAACTAAAATTGGTCATTTCTTTGAATGTCTTATATCATCGAAAGTATAAGAGATATAAAAAAAAGTTTTATATAAAAGTGACTGTCTTTGATACGTTTAATTTAGAATTGATGTCAAAAAAAATTCAAGATGGCTACTTTTGAGGAACATTTACCAACTTCCTAAAGTTAAATAGGCGCCATATGGGATTTTTAGATTACTTGATAGATTTTTTAATTCTCTTTTCAACGAGCCATCATAACATAAGATTGAAAATAAGATACCAGTTATATCAACGGTTTTTATATTTTAATTAAGCAGGCTGTGATGAATTAAAAAAAACAAAACAAAATATATTCTCGTCCTCGTCCCGGAAACGTGCATTTTTCGTACTTATGAAACAAATAACTATTAGTTTTTTTGAATTTATGTCGAACCTATGCGACATTTTGAATTTCCATATGGAAATTTTAAATAAGCATCCAAAACTGCAAAACATTGTCCATTTAACCAATTCTCTATCTTTAATAATAACAAAGTTACCCATGCAATCCCACCCGATTTGGGACACACTGTATATTAGAATGTGAGTATACTTCTATTTTAGTGGTAAATTATCATAATAAATGAAAACAATGCTTTAATTTGATCTTTTTTTCCAGTTCCATGCTAAAACACTCTAACCCAGTGGTTCCCAAGCTTATCTTTCAATGGCGCTCACTTTCTGAAAACTAAAATTATTCACGCCCCCCCCTCTCTCGATTAAAAAAGAAAAACTGCTTTTACTACAAAAAAGTATTTATTTCTTCTTTCTAAGTGTCTTGTAGGTCTTCAAATAGCGAAGTTATGGCAAAAAACCGAAAAATGACAGACACATCAGGGATCTCGCCCCCCCCCCCTTGTTTGGGAACCACTGCCTAACCGCAAAGGTCAACTAGGCAATAGAAAACAACACGTTCTACTATTTTCGAATTGCGTAGCGTCCTCAAAAACGGAATAATTTGAGACAACTTACCTTCACGTTTCTGCTCCAACCCTTGAATTCGATCAGTCAAACTCGAATTCTGCTGTGCAAGATCGGAATTAATTTCCATGTGCTGTTGCAGTTGACTTCTCAGCTCGTTCATTTCACGGGTCAACTTGTGCACCTCCTCGTCCCTCAACCTAACTAAATCCGCAAACTCCACATTTTTAACTTTCAACTCTCGATACTCCGAATCGAGATCTTCCAAGACCGTTAGGTTCTTTCTATGTTCGTCGCTCAGTTTCTCAAACACTTTCATCTGTTCCTCAAAATCGCTCTGCTGCTGATCCAGCTTTTGCTTGTAATTCATAATATCTTCAATATATAACGATTGCTTCTCGACGTACTCCCTCAGTTCGTCTTCTTTTTGCTCGCACTGCGCGATCAATCTCTTGCGTTCCAGCGCGATTTGCTCAACTTGATTCTGCTGTTCGAATTCTAACGTCTCTATGTCGGCCGCCTTCTCGCCAAGTTTCCGTTCGTAGTTCTCGTGTAGATGTTTGTTTTCGTTATCGAGTCGGCCAATAACTTCGTTAAGGTGCGAAAGCTCACCCTGTAAACTTGCCAAAGTCTCTTGATCCGACGAGGATTGAAGGTTCTTCTCGGTCGCCGCGCTGAGATGATGCTTAAGTTCGTCATTTTCTTCCATTAAACGTTGATTCTGTTCCGTCAACTCCTGGTTTTCGACAACCGCGGTGTGCAGTCGTCGCTGCACCTGCTCATCGTGGGCGGTTAGCGCCTCAAGTCGTCGCTCCAGAACGTCTTCGGCTTGCGAAATTTCCTCGTAACTGTTGGACTTCTCCAGCAACTGGGCGTTTAACTCGACGGTTTGCTTCTCGAGCGAGAGTCGTCGTTCTTCGATCGTCGATATGAACTCTTCGAGCTTATTTATTTTCTCCTTAAACTTGGAGATTTCCGTCTCCTGATTCTCGACCACCATGTCCATTTCGGTTATCTTCGCCTGAAGGGCGTTCGTGTTCGTCTCGGCCTGGTACTGCGTGCTCTCCAGCAGGCGATTTAGATTTTCAATGATCTGGTTCTTTTCGTTGATTTCGATGTTGAAAAAGTTGCTCTCGTTCGAATGTTGCATTTCGGTTTCTGTTCTCAACGCATTCAGCTGAGACTCGAAGTCTCGATTCGCGTGCTGCAATTCCTCGAAGTTCTGCTTCAAGGTCGTTATTTCGCGACTGCGCTCGTCCAGTTCGTTCGATTTTTGCGTTAGTAAAGTTTCGATGGCGGCCATTTTTTCCTCCAGATTTTGTAGCTGCTGCATCTGCGATTTAATCTCGTCCTCGTGGTTGTCAATACTCTCTTGCAAAAACTGTTTCTCTTTCTCTCGCGTTTCGAGTGTTTGGGTCAGATCCTTGCATTTCAGTTCTAATTCGGAGTAGGCGGTAGTTTTCTTTTTTAAATTTGCCGCTATTTTTTTCATTTTCTCAAGTTGTTCCTTGTTCTTTGTTTCTAAGGCTTCTATTTTTGATAATCTGCAACAGAAGAAGTGCAAGGATATAGATGGATAACGGCTAAAAAGCCTAAAAAAACAGTCTACATATATTCCATACACTGTGAGACTATTGATCTATTTTATTAAATTGTTTATATTGTGGGGGCTTAAATTTAAACAAGTAAAAAGGTTTTCGCCCTAAGGCGAGTAACTACAGCGCATTTTCCATGAATTGATCAGTACCTCCCTTAAAGCCATACTAGAGGCATAAATGGTTAAAATTTCAAAGGAATATCTCCATAAATAAATAGGTTGCGCAGTTCGCGCATGAGCACATTTAATTTATACTATAGGCATGCGATGTTTGTATTTACTAGAAGCATCTATGGTCAAAATTTCAAAGAAATATCTGCATAAATAAGGAAGTCGGCACTGACTGCGCATGCGCACATCTAATGTTTGTAATATCCAATATGTTTGCCTTTAACAGAAGCATCTGTGAGTAAAATTTCAAAAAGATATCTCGATAAATAAGAAAGTTGACATTGCGCATGCGCAGTTTAATCGGCAAAATTTTCCTTGGCTCAGGCGCCAGAGCTATACACTACTGAATGCAAAAAGAACAAACTTAATATCCTGAAAACCAAGAAGCTATGAGAGTATCATCGCCTAGGCAACCTGTGGTCAGTGCTTGCTCCAGCATTAGCAACTCACCCGGGCCGATTTCGAACTGGGATGAGTTTACGAATACTGAGGCGCTGCTCGTATCTAAATTCTAATTTAACACCATTCATGATGAAGGTAGTAAGATAAGCTTTTTGATCACATGACCTATGATGCTATTTAAAAAAAAATTCAAGATGGCGGTCGCATTCGAACACTGTATAAACAAAAATTCCTTTTAACGTTGTTGTATATGTTCAAACCGCCCATGCGAAATAATGTATTCTATGTTCCACAGCAAAAGTGAATCATTGAAAGTTCATGAAATTTGGTATAATTGTTAAAGGCGATGTATATGATGTTTAGATAATTTAAAAAAAAATAGAAAGTTTACCCAAAAAGTGACTTTGAAATTTATGAAATCGTAAATAATAAATAGGTGTAAAACAACAATTGAAAATAGCGATTTTCACACATAATAACAAAGAATTGCACGAGATATACTATTTTTAGCAATAATTCTCAATAAAATTCATATTATGATTATTCCAATAAATAAACAGCCAAAATAGACGTGAATTTTGAACAGTAAATACCTATCATAACCATATGCCCACTATATATTAAATATATAGTATATATATCTAGGTAAAAAACGACTGTATACAACATTTTTTCTATATAAAAGTTGATATATATATATATAATTTCCCATAATAAGGCAGTATTCAATTGTTTTTATTTCAGAAAACAAATGAATAACAAAAAACAATTGAATTTTTTTAATATAGCAATGTACCCTATTATTAGGCTGACTTGATAGATATTTTTTCTCTTTTTAATGCCACTATCAAGTCCAAGGCCAATTAACATTACCCAAAAATTGTTTTTGGATTTTGTTCTTTATGCCGAAAACCATTTTAATGTTTAAAAAATTTATAAAGAAAATGCCAAAATGTAATGATTCTTAAATTAATTGAATTTTATAAAAAAACATTTTTTGATATTGTAACCCACTACATTTTCAATTGATTTAATTTAAATATTATATAAAATATTTCGAACATTTAAAAAAGGTTTAAAAATTTAAGAGAGAAAGAAAATTTCGTCTAAAGGGATTGTAGAAGGAAAAGTGCCCATAACACTAGCAGCATTGCCGCGCTGAATGGCCAGACTAAGTTTTTGAATTATTATATTAACTTTCTCATTTATACTTTAATTTATCAAGTCATAAACATGAAAACACAACATTATAATTATTAACGCATTCATCGAATTAATTTATTTACGTTATCAGTAGGTTCGAATAAGTTAAATAATTCAAGATCGAATGTTATATTTGTCAATACTTCATAATAAAAGAAGATTTTTATTTAAAAAACGGGTTTGTGAGCATACTCTGTAAAATTGAAAAAATTTACATCATTAATTGCATTCAGGTAGGTAAACTTGTTTCATTGCTTACTAATTATTCAGAATCTTTCTCTGTCTAAGATGGAGTTTATTCGCTTTGGTTAGATCTGCTATAATATCGCCATCTAGCGGAATGCAGTTGTCCCTACTAACAACTAACAACTTTAACCTCAAAATATGTGAAATAAGGCCGGCATAGCACTGGCGCAGTATTATTACCTTACCAAAAAATACCTATGACTATGTAGCACACTACGGCACTATACAGGGTGTCAATTTTAAAACTTGCAGTCGGCAATATTTTCTAAACTAAAGAAGATATTGAAAATCGCGAAAAACCGTTTCGGGGGTATCGAGGGGGAACCCCCTTAACGCCCCCCTCTTAAAAAATCCTAAATGGCAACCCCATACTTGTGACACATCGTTGGAAAGCTACTGAAAAATGCTTTTCAGTGGTACCAATAAAGTCAATATTCATTACAATTTAAAAAAATTTTTATAATTACCAAAAAAAAAATAAAAATTAAGCCATGCCTATGTTCAAGATTTGATCGCTAAAGTCGAAGAAACGGGATCTGTTATCAATAAAAAAGAAAGCAACCAATTTTGCTTAATGAAGCAGCACAGGTTGAAGTTCTTGGCCCATTTGCCATAAATCCCTCAATGTCAACATTTAGGTTTTTTTGTTAATTATTAAATTTTTGTTAAATTGTCTTTAATCAATATTGACTTTATTGGTACCACTGGAAAGCATTTTTCAGTAGCTTTCCAACGATGTGTCACAAGCATGGGGTTGCCATTTAGGATTTTTGAAGAGGGGGGCTGGGGGGGTTGTCACTCATAACGTCATTCTGGTTCCCCCTCGATACCCCCGAAACGGTTTTGTGGGATTTTCAATATCTTCTTTAGTTTGGAAAATATGGCCGACTGCAAGTTTTAAAATTGACACCCTGTATAAAGGTTGTTTGACATTGTATTCATAATACCTCAACATCGAAAACCTAAGAGCACAATACTTGGGAAACAAGTTTCTCTTCCTTAATAAAGTAGGTAGAAACTAATTAAAGCAAAAAGCAATACTTACGGATCCTTTATGTTACTCAACGACCCAGCATTCTGCTCAATTTGACTCTGCAGCGTAAGATACTTGGCGTTTAACGACTCGCAAACCTCCCTAAACCGTTCCTCCTTCTGCCTCAACTGATCTTGCAAATTCACGATCATCACCTCCTTGTTATCCCTCTCCTTATTCAGTTTGCTTATTTCGTCATCCTTACACGCCAACTCGTGCTCCATATCCAGCAGTCTCTCGCCCAACTCCTTCAGCTGAGTGTTCAGCTTGCCGATCGTAACGGAATTCTGCTGCAGCTCCCGCTCGTAAACCTCGATCTGATTGATGTTCTCGTTGAGGAGCGCCTTGAGCTCCTGAAGCTGTCCGGACATCGCCTCGATCGTGTCGACGTACTCGTTATTCTTTCGATTCTCCGAGTCCAAGTGGGAGAGCGCACTGTTTAATTCCGCGATCACGGAATTTAAATGTGACACCTCGTTCTGATAATGACCAATTTCGGACTGCTTTTCCTGCACTTTCTCTTGCAAATCGGCGATGACGTTCGAGCTCGAAATGAGCTCCTCTCGATTTTCTTCGATTATCGCTTTGTAGTTCTCTAGTTCGTCAAGGTTTTCGCGTAGTTTCGCGTCGTATTCGGCGATTCGACTGCGAACCGTCGTCAGTTCCGTTTCCATTACATGCTTCTCTTGGACCACTTCCGAAGTCTCCTTGATTGTTTTGCTTAGGTTGTCGTTTTCGGATTTGAGAGCCGCGTATTGCTCTTCTAAAGTTGTTATTTTTTCGTGCAGCTCCCTATTCGCCACCGGTAAGTCTTTGTACGACAGCAGTTCTGCTTTCAACTCCTTTATCTCACTCTTTTGCAGCTCTACCAGGCTTCTGGACTCGTCGATTTGTTTCTGTAATTCGGCGTCCTTCGTGTCATCTAATGGCATTACGGTTTCGAATGACATCACTTGTTCGTTCTCGCTTCCACTTTTGATTTCATGCTTGAGCATTTCGTTCTCCTTTTTCAGTTGGGCAATTTCGTTATTTAATTCCTGTTCTAAAAGCTTCAGGGTATTTCTCTCCTGCTCGACGCTCTCCTTCTCATTTTGTAATTGCTCGTAGGTCTCAGACAGAATATCTCGGTTGTTCTCAATTTCTTGCACTTTCATATTTAACTGGCTGTTTTCGGTGGCTAGCGTTTCCATCTTTTCCATAACCTCCTTTCTCTCCTCAGTAAACAGCTCAATTTTCCTAAGCAAGTCGCAAGTCTCCTCCGTAAGTTGATTAACACTCTCATTCAGCTCAGGATTCGGATCTAAGGTTTCGATAGCGCCGCCCGAATTTAACTCCAAACTTTGCTGGTAGGCCTCCAACTCTAACTTCTCCTGCTGCGTGAGATTTTCAACCATTTCGATACTTTCGGCCGACGACACCTTCTCGGCGCTCAACTTTTCCAACTTGTCAATGAGGTCCATATTCTCCTGCATGTAGCTATCCAATTTGCTCGCGATCTCCTGCTTCTCCGTCGCCAGGTTCTCCAATTTCTCCAAAAGCGACTCCTTTTCCAACATGATTAGGTCGTTCTTTTCGATCAGAGCCTTCTTTTCCAATTCTAAATTATCGAGCTGTTCTTCGAAGTGTATCGAGGTCATTTCGGTGGCCACTTGGTCGTTTTCGATTTGGGAGAGTTTGTTAAATCGCTCGCTGAGCGATAGCAACTCCGTTTTGTACGATTTTAGTTCTGAAATGAATAGGTTTGTTAGTCGAAAGAAGTTTGCAACACGCAAAGGTGATTGATATAGGTCTATACCTTTTGCTCTGTGTGATGCATAAGAAAGAAAATTTGACAATTTTAAGGTGTGAGAATAAGGGGTCTACTTACGTGATTCCTTGTTATCGAGTAACTCAGATTGCTCGAACAGCTGTGCCTCCAATTCCTTAATACGTTCCGTATTTGACGAATCTATAATAAATATAAATCTAAAATCAGTTTTGATTTGAAAAATAAAATATCGACAGGATTTATGATCATATAAATTAAATGAAGATCTAATAATAAAAATGCGATTGCAAAAATTTAAAAAGGTATGAGCAACAAAATTTTGATAGAGTGCGTCTAATATTCATTCATTGACAGCTCTCGTTAAGACGTTGTTACCCATCAGTGAGTTCATTGTGTAATTAAAAACAGTTATAGATAAAATAATGGCCGTGTAATACACTGATTAGTGCAATTGGCTGGTCATTTTTTGTAATATAAACCTAGCATAACTTTTGAAGGCTGCGGCGCTCAAAAATCTTTTTCAAAAATCCGGTCCGTTATTACCCCCCGCACGTTAGTATGGGAAGTATTGCATTGGGGTAAAAAAATTTAGTTTTTTGACGGAAATACACCAGGAAATGTACCAGGAATTCGAATCAAATAAAATCTCGATGACGTAGGTCTGTCGATCTATCTGTACTCTCATTTCCGGTTAAACCGATCGGAACTAAATTTGGCGCACACATTCTTAGACATAAAAGGGCAGAATCGCGCACGCACAGGGGTATCTGTGCGAGCCACAGTAAATTTTTGTCGTTTCCGTATGCCTAATACAGGGTGGGCCATTAGTGTGTGGGTGAAAGATTGTGGGTTTATTAACGCACATAGTTAAAATTCATTGACGGGGCATGTTGGGGGACCCTTAAGGCTACAACCTAAAAATATTTGCACAAAAATTGCAATTGTTATACAGGGTGATTTATATCAAAGTCGCATTTTTTTAAACGGAACCCCCTATACAGGGTCCTTCTTGACGAGCGTCAGTTAGAAACATATGGAAAACCTTTGAAAATGAAAATAAACTGATAAGTTCTTTAAGGGTTTTGGCACATGATGAATTGAACTAAAATATTTTCAAGATGGCGCCACTTCTGGAAATACCAGAAGTAGCCATCAACTTTGTTATTTTAAATAGGGACCTACATTTTCGGATTCTACGTCGAATTTGGAGTACAACGATACCCCATAGTTGACCCTTTGCTCCAAGGGCTTCGTCGATATTCAAGTTTCTATGTCAAAAATTGAATTTGCAGGGCTCACTTTAAAAATGTATTATTCGAAAACGGTGAGAGATATTGCAAAACAGTTTTCAATGCTTTATTAAGGAAAGATCGAATTTTCTTATGGTATACGAAACCGTCTAAAAAAGTGAGACTACGTCACTTTTTCAAAGCTCTCAATTTTTAAATTTTTAAATTTCGGTAACTCCATTTTTTTAAATGGCACGCCCCATTTTGTTCTTCACCGTTGTTTTCCTGTTTCCCAGACCTTTAATTTGATACAAAATGTGAAAAGCTGCTTCAAACGGTTTCCGAGATATTCCATGTTTTAGTTACTTCTTATGTTAAGTTGTGTATACTAGGATGCAATGAGCTTACCTGTACCTACGTAATCTGGAAATTGTTTACGGACTTATCGCAGGTTATACCAATACCAACAGACTTGCGCTATCAGCTCCTATCATTTTTGTATATTGTTATTGTATTACTGTTAAGATTAGTTTGTAAATAATGTCATGAATAATAAGGATCTACTATTTTTCTAGCAAATGGAATGCTTTGTACTACCTCTTAACTAAATTAAGGAACATTTGATTGGAATGCGTACAGGACATATTAACATCAGATCACTAGTTCCCTCAATCTTTGAACTCAGATCATTTTTAGCTTATAACGATTTTGATTTATTCGCAATTAGCGAAACATGGTGCCACCCAGGGATTACAGATGAAGCGATTGAGGTAAATGGATATAAATTATATCGAAAGGATCGGGATGGTAGAGCAGGAGGAGTTTGTATTTATGCTAAGCGCTCACTGAAATGCACTGCTATTAAATCCAGTAATCAAATTGAGCAGATTTGGGTAAAGATCAAAATTGGTAAGTTCAATGTGGTTTGTGGATGTGTCTATAGATCTCCTTCAGTAAACTACAAGTTATTTTTGGATGAATTAGAATCATCATTGACCTTAATGCACAATGACAGTGACTTTGTGGTTTGCTTAGGAGACATGAATATCGATGTGATACGCATACATAGTCCTGAGACAGTATACATTACCACGATGTTGGACGCAATCAGTTTCAAACAAATAATATGCGAACCCACGCGTATTACCAAAAATTCTTCAACCATTATTGACTTAATCTTGGTCAGCGATATTAAAATGGATATTATATAATATTAATATATTAAACGGATCATGAAACAATCTTTTGCGCCTTAAATATAGAGGTGATTAATAACCCAGCCATATATAAGACTACTTGTGATTTTTTCAATATGGATACGACGCAATTTGAAAATGACGTGCAACGAGTTCCATGGCAAAATCTATTCCATATGGATAATGTTAATGATAAGGTTCAATTTCTGTGTTGGAATATGTTACACTTGGTCAATAAGTACACGTCCGTTCGAACTATTAAGGTTACTAAGCGGAATGAACCTTGGATAACAACAACTATCAAAATTGCAATGAACTTACGGAATAATGCTTTGAAAAAATTTAAAACAACTAAACTGCATACTGACTGGTCCTATTACAAAAGTTTGAGGAACCAAGTAAACTTCATGGTTAAGCAAGAAAAGGCAGCTTTTTTCAAGCACAAGATTAATTCTAACAATAAACAACTTTGGAAAGAGTTAAAGCAACTTTCATCTCCAAATAGTGTGCAACCCGACTTACCCGCCCATTTAGATAATCCGGAAGCTATAAATACCTTCTTTGTAAATTCAATTCCTAACTCAAATGACCAAAACGTAACTCAGTTGATCAACTTTTATAAAAATAATAAAATAATTCATAATCAGTCTTTTAAATTCACTACTGTCGAAACAAGCCACGTTGCGAAAATCATAAGTGGTATCAAGTCAACCGCTTATGGTTCCGATGGAATTAATATCAACATCCTAAGACTATTCTGCCCAATTATCGAACCATACCTTACGCATGTTATAAATATGGTACTTTTAACAAGTATTTATCCGGAAGCCTGGAAAAAAGCTGTGATAACTCCATTGCCAAAGACACTTCGCCCAAATCAATTTAAAGACTTGCGCCCGATAAGCATATTACCAGTGATGTCCAAAATAATAGAAAAAGTAATGAATGACCAGCTCAGAGCATACGTTGACGCAAAACATATAATTCCTGATCACCAATCCGGCTTTAGGCCGAATTATAGCTGCACTACAGCTTTGATCGATACTGTCGATGACATTATTACTGCTACTGACTCCAAACTCATCTCTGTCCTGGCACTGTTACACTATAGCAAGGCCTTTGACACTATCAATCACGGCATTCTTCTCTCTATTCTGGAAAGCATTGGATTGTCATGTCAAGCAGTGAAATTGTTTGATAGTTACTTAACTGGACGGTGTCCGTCTGTAAAAATTAAAGCTACTCAATCAGATTTTTTATCAACTTCAAAAGGTGTTCCACAGGGGTCTATTTTGGGCCCACTGCTGTTTATTATATATACTCACCAGTTTGACAAATGTATTAAGCATTGCAAATTGAAGAAGTTTGCCGATGATACACAAATGTTGTATTCATTTCGCGTAGAGGAGTATTTCACTGCTACTCGTAAAATAAATGAAGACCTTCACTCCATTGAATCAGTTTCACACATGCACTCATTATTCATAAACCCATCAAAATCTTCAATCATAGTTTTTGGGAATGAAGACAAAATCAATTCAATAAAAGACAAACTCAACTTCACTTTGCACGAGACGACCATACCTCTCCAATCTGAAGTAAAAAACTTAGGCCTCTCAATTGATAACTCTTTCAGATATAGTACACAAATTAACACTTACATAAAGAGAAGCATTATGAATTTGAAATTGTTATTCCCGCACAGAAAAACCTTACCAATTCATATAAAAGCTATGCTTTGTAACTCCCTTGTACTGTCCCACTTTAACTATTGTTCCGAAATTTATTGGTCGTCTATAACGCAAGACGTGGCAAAGCGTATCCAACGGGTACAAAATAGCTGCATGCGTATGATATTCGGCATACGCAAGTTTGAGCACATCTCCCATAAGTTGAGTGATCTGAACTGGCTAGACATGAATAACAGGAGAAAACTACTATTTGCAACACTATGCCATAAGGTGCTTTTATATAAGAAACCAGCGTATCTTTATAACAAAATCCGCTTTCGAACGGACGTTCACAACTTAAATTTAAGATTTTGTGGTTTAATTTCTCCTCCTAAACACTCCACTGCTTTATTTGAACGAACCTTTCAGTATCAAATTTATAAAATTTACAATAACATACCACCTGAGTTTAAAACGTTATCAGTGTCCTTGTTTAAAAGAAAAATGTTCCTATATTTGTTAAAACCTAATGTTTAATTAATTGTACAAAATACGATAGTAATAGTAATCGTCAGAACTAATCTTAACTTCGGCCGACATCCCAGAATTTAATCCTAGGCAACAAATTAGCACAACTCTGTTATTGACTTCACGGTCCCAATGGAAGACCAAGGTAGCTGACTACCAATTTGAATTGGCACCGTGTGATTTCTCCGCATCTTTGGAAACTTGTATTGTTCTCTTCATGGTATATTTTATATACAAGATGTGTGAGAAATAAAGGCTATTATTATTATTATTATTATTATTATTAAAAATGAAAACGTTCGGAGACTTTAAAGTTGCGATTCGAAAAATCGTTTCATGACCGATCGTGTGTAATGCGCGCCTATTGGTTCCCTTGGTACGTATACGATGCGCGATTTACGCGCCGAATTCGAATAGGTCAAATGACGTCATACAACTGCTGTCGTTCCGCACTACATACCTAAACTTAAGTAATGTACATATTTGTAATTTAATGACGGATTTTAAAATTTGTTTACTGATTTATTAGTTTTGATCTACATTTTAGTGCTCGTTTTAGTGTCATTGGGTTCACTATAACATTATCACCACCTCTCTCCCCTAATAATGTATGCAAATTCTTCGTCCCAAGATAAATGGAAACGAAGCGAATGGCTATTAATAACAAAGTTAGATTACTCACAATTCACGGCGTTGCAATGGAAAGAAATGTATTAACGGTGTCGCATTTTATTAACTGACAATTTTTCTCGTCTAATTGCTAGGCAACAGATTTTCATTGCCTAAACAACCCCAATTTACTTGGTAAAATACAAACCTCTGCAATTAGAAGTGAAAAAATTTAAGCGACGAAAGCTACGTGGTTATTCCTTGGTAGTGCCCGACCCGAATTAATATTTTACTTTCATATGCACGGTTTAACTTTTCGTAGTTCAAACGCGAAATACTCAAAATTTTAAATTGAAAATTAACTGATTGATTGATTAATTTTAATTTTATCTAGGGGTCACTCATTGGTCTCGCTGCGTTCTTAACCACTTAACTCTAATTTTTTCCAAAAACTAATCCCCTCTTTTCCTTACTAACTAAAGAACGCCTACAA